CGAAAAACGGCTTATGCCGTTCAACTTTATTGAACGCGAGTATGCTGACAATTTTGTTTTGGAATGTATTACTCCTACTGTGAAGACATCTATTCTTCAAACAAGTCCTTATGAGCTTGGGGTGTGGTAGTCGTCCAACTTCCTCTCTCTGAACATATCTACGTACAGTGCTCTGACATTCTGTTTTCCTCGGGCTGTCTTGAATTTCATTTTTACACCTTCAGTGAGTGACCAACTTATACCTGGTTGTCAGTTGTCAAATATGTGGGAGCCTTCTTATCCTGGAACCTGCGTTGGTCTACGCCTTTCATCGAGCCGTTTTGCAAGGTTAGCGGACTGGACCTATAATACCAGACTTACAACGCTTTTAATGCCCCTTGATTCTCAACTTCGGGACTGCGTGCATTCTGTCACACTCTCCCTACTGCTCCCCTATTATTTTCTTGGTTTACTTTAAGAAACTGCACATTTTTCCTACATTTACTTCTACGTGCAGTGGACTGTCTAGAAAAGTTATCATTAATTTGATTCCCAGTAAACATCTAAACGGTTGCGCCAGTTTTTTCTTCAAATCCTATACATTTTGATCTATCAAAAGTCATCTGTTTCACGCATATGCTTTGCATTCAATGTTCGCTTTTCTCGTACTATATCCTATCTGCGGCACAGTAGCATGAGTGTTTTCCACCTCTAGCTAAGATGTATAATGATATAATGATGATTACATCTTACCATTATTCCATATTACCGTACTTGTCGCGATCAGTGTGATCCACAGTTACTTACTGGAATTATATGCGAAGACATCTTCCATTAGATACTGCTTTTATACACTCATTTCAATCATTTCTCCCTTGTCACCTATACTTTAATGGGACGGTGAAATGCAGCATCCTTATTACCCTCCACTCAACTATCCGTTTGCCATGGGACAACTCGCCCACTTACGTTTGCATGTGAAATTGAAACCGTAATATTTATAGGAACCGATTTGCCATAACTACACTAGTCCTTTTGCACAGTTCAGCCGTATTCAGATGACGGTCTGCAGCCGATCCACACAGCAAACCGATTGTGTTTATGTGCTCTCGCTGCCTCCTCCAATGCGCGGTGTTAAATGCACACACACGTTAGCCCCGTCTGACATTTCGGATTGACCTTTCTTTGGGATTACAACTCCGATTACACTGCCCCACAAAATCCGATCCGGATTTTCCAGCGAATGATTGTTACACGCTTCTGCTCTGGATCGCCCTACCGCAGCTCCATCCACTATGGGAGGTCACAGGACTTACACAGGTACGCCTGTTCCCTCCCACTTCGGTTGTTGGACTCACAGTGGTCATCCCTGGAGCAGCAGTACCGAAGATCCACCTCCCAATTGCGGAGAGCCAACAGCCGAAACTATTTCTTTACGCATGTCACTTCCTTCTAACAAGCAATGTTTCCTCACGTCGGATCCGAGTAGCTCATCCTTGATTTTGACTAGGTTCCTCGCCGCACCTGATGAACTGACCAAATCTGGGGTACCACCAGGATCCCACTTGTTTATCGCAACTGCGCCATCATTCAAGATTCCGAAGACACCATCACTAACGGTTGGATAAGGCTCATCTGAAGAAGCCAACTACAATTTGTTCTGTATACTGTTCCGTTCTAACCCGTAACAGAGTGAACAACTACCCAAAGGTGACGAATAGCGCCACCGAATGCATGGGAAGTTACTGAGGCAGACGGAGCTACGGAGGCGGATAGAAGCTCTGTTATCTCATTGAAACTCCCCCATGGAATTGATGGAGACAAACCGATGGGCCTTGCAGCTTTATCAAGTGAATTGCGGTCAGAGTTGGAAGGCGTGGCTTCCAATTTTCCTGCAGTGCGGCAGCTGCACTGTGCCTCGCCACCAAACGAATAGTCGCTATCCTTCCGGTGGGCCACTGTTGGTCGGCTCGTCCGCGGGAATTATCGTCAGAGTCCTTTGAGATAGCCCGCACATCCGAACTGGTTGCACCAAATGTTTCTTGTTCAGCACCCGAGGGCACTTCTGATTCAGTAATTACGTCTCGAATTAAATAGCTTGTATAATCATTCACATAACGGGCGCGAAGACTGGCGTCGCTAGCAAAGGTCTTACAAGTTGGGTGCATGTTAACCTTCAAATACAATCGAAGAGGGAGATGAACCTCACTGGCTGCTTGATGTTTGTTGAGGTAGACGGGGACATTTGGAAGACGACTAAACTGTTTCGGTTCTTAAGTCACTAATCCAATAAGGCGGATATCGGTTATGCAAATGTCGCGGCAGTGCTGTAGCTGTAAGTCTCTGAAGCATGTATCGAATTCGATATGAACGGTGTGCTGTTGCGTAACTACGTCCACAACAGAGATATCGGAATTCGCTAAAAGCCCGCACTTTTTCCTAACGTTCGCCGCTACAGTTTCGATGTATTTTTCTCGTACCGATAGATTACCCAATAATCGACGGCTCAAGCACTGCAGTGGGAGCCAAGTTGACTCATTGTTGTTGGAAATATCCGCTCGCCGAGTTTTTCTAGGGAGTACTGACTTTACTGGTCCATCTACCAGTCGCGCTGAACTCTCAGTGATAGATAGGGCTTTGTTGTCGTCTACGGAGAAAGAGCGACTGTCCTAGTCCACCCTTTCAAACTCACCGTCAAACAATGGCTGCTGGATCCAGCTAACAGGTCTAACTAACCTCCTTCCTAACAAGGTTTTCGCAGTGGTTGGAAGTTGCCGTCCTCCACGATGCGGTTCTAGCTGCCAGTGGACTTCACGAATATTTACTCCCGGAAGAATTTGAGCTTTCTCGTCTTTACTAGCAGCAAAATGAACAACGGCCAGCGGCACTCCACTAGGCTGATGGGGCACGCTACGGGGTTCAAACGTAGGCGCCTCAGGCTATAAGATCGTTCAACAGTAACCGAATCAAAGCCATCCAGGGCCGATAAACGGAAATCCGCAAGACGTGTGTCCAAAGATGAAAACCCACTCCGTGTCTGTACTTTCAAAGACGCAATCTCAACCTTTGACCCGACCTCCTACAGGACGTTTCCTTTGACAATGCTTGCGTCAGAACCGTTGTCCAACAGAGCGTATGTCTCGACCGATCTCAAGGGACCCACTAAAATTACTGGAACTACTCTAAGGCAGACTTTCACAATAGCAGAACTGGCTATATGAAAAATGTTAGACGTCTGCGGAGAACTAGATGTTTTTACCGCATGCAACAGGGGATGGTGCATACCTTTACATTTGGATAGTTTGCACCCCTTACTATACGATAGCTCACAGCCCGATGGCCTGGTCTCTAACCGTTGTAACATCCCCCTTTGGATCTTACGAGCTCCCACCGGTCGAAGACGTCGGAAAAGGTGAATGTTGGGCATGACGCCGTGTCGTGTCCTTCGTTGCACGCTAGGCATTTTGGTCTCTTGGATTGCTCCGATGAGGTGTAAGTGGCAAATTTACGGTCGGTACGTTTGTCACCCCACCGTTGCGATTGTGCGGTATTCTGAGGACACAAAGTGGTCGTAGTCGCCAGTTGTCCAAATCTGCTACGTGCCACTCGAGCTTTAGTAGTGACAAAGTCTGTCAGTGCTTGAATTATACGTCCCCTCCCTTTTGAGCAGGAGAATCTGTCACTCTTGTTCATCTCAACTGCAGGGTGTTTGGTAGAACACGAACCACTCGTCGGTTAAGGCTACCGAATTTAAATCTGCGCTAAAATTCATCTGAGATAGGGCCACATAACAGTTGTCTACTTTTATGGAGAGACGAGACAGAGCGTCATGGTCTCCAGCAAGTGCTTTCAAGCATATAAACAAACCCTCGAGTAGTGCCCTGGCAACAACATGGCACTGGTCAAACAATTCACGAAGAATGGCTCTAGCGTTGTCCTAGACCTGCTCAGGAAGTATCATGACTCACTGATCACCTCTTTTGCACGGCACTTGCAATAGTAAACCAACTAAAGCAAACGTTAGCCACTGTCCTGCACGCAACTTTCGACAAAATACTCAAATTGTTTGCTAAACTTCCAGTAAGTTGCAGGGTTACCGTCAAAAAACTCCAGTTCTACTCTAGGTAGATCCAATTGTGAACTACGAAAGGATTGCATTTGGTCGACAAGGGTTAAACGGCTCGGTACCTACGATACGGTTTTCTGACAGTCGTCGATAAACTATCCCATCCCCACACTCTTTGTTACTGCATTACGGTCGGCTACAATTTGACTATCTAGTCCGTCAATACCACTTTCCAACTCCAAACGTAATCTGGCCATCTCTATTTCCTTTTCAGCCAGTAAAATGCGCCTCTGATTTTCTAGTTTCAACTCAGCTACCAACTGTTTCTTTTTAATCTGGGCTAACCTAAAGGAAACCAGTGCATCACGAGGACTTAAACCAGCATTACTTTTACAACTGTACTGCGAACCAGAGCAAGAAACGGCATCGTTGGCGACAGAAAGCAAATTCTCAACTTGCCGAGGTTCTTCGTCAGCTTCCAAGACCTTCACGAACGGCTTCCTCCTTCCATGCATGTTCACGGTTTAAGTGAGAAGCAAACGTTGACGTTCTTCAGACACGGAAGTCCGCTGAGCAATTGATCCAAAAATTCCGAGGACGTTAAGCATTTATCTACAGATTTGCAACACAGTCTCTGCTTACCGCCTGGCTGCTTACTTGCACTACACAGGCTACCATGCCTTGAGCACATGCCCTATATGCGTACTCAGAAGATACTCTACTCATCGTTTTTATATTTGTGTTTACTGGTATGCCAATCTTTTCTTTCCTTTATCACCTTGACGTTTGCGGACGCCGGCACCCATGTCATGACCTTGATCTGTACATGCTACCAGCACACATTGCTCGAACATCTCCTCACAGTCGTAAGCGATTACAGTTGTCTGACCGCTTGTGTAATACACCCTGTCGTTCTACGTATATCCTCCCTTTTTCCTGCTCTTACTTTTGCTAGCTATGGTCTGGACACAGATACGATTTACCGAATTTTCTTATCTTCCGGTCTTGATCTTCGAGTTCTGCAGCATATTTGGTCTTTGGCGAATCGATCCCATCCCGGGTGGCTTACACCATCCGAATTGGTCATGGCACTGGCCTTGATCGCACTTGCCCAACAAGACTATTTTTGCTTACATCAACCAACGGATTCCATCATTACCAACCTATCCGTGCAACGGGCGTATCAGTGCTCTGCACCACCACTTCCGAATGTGGCGCTACCAAGTCCGCTCGACACATTGTCTTATGATAACTTCACCGAACATTTTCGAGCAACGGATCCCAACGTGCCTATCCAAAACCCTGTCCACTCTTCTTTGAATGGAGTTTGCAACTTCCAAATTTCCAATGCTGCTTGTTTACGGTCGTCAGCTCCCATTACCACTCCCCAGGCTAATGATGAGGATTGGGCCGATTTCACGTCGTGTAAGCCATCGGTACGCTTTACACATTTATTATCATTCTGATATACACCAAATCGTTTCGTTACAACTCAGACTTTTTGAAAACTATATGGCAGAGGTATCCGTCAGCCATTTTATCCGACGATCATGACGCTGCTATGCCCATAAACAATCGACCTTAGTTGTTTCACATTGTGCATTATTGTGGGCGTTTGCTCTTTGTTGAACTATCTTCCTCACAGATACCTTCATTGTGCTGTCACTGTGCGTCTGAAAAGTCGCCGCACAGTCTGTTTTTTTAATGGTCCCATCAACAGTACGCACTTCGTTTATCTGACGAACGACCGCAACTTAGCCCTACTCGTGACTGTGGGTTTGCGCGTGTCCTTTCGTTGTATTGAACTTGCACCTCACCATGTGTTCTCTAGTAAGTCGAGGTATATTTCTGCCAACTTGCTCATCGGTTACATGCCAAGGAAACAGCTTCCTCCGCTCTCTAGGTTGGAGATTGGAAGTGAAGTGGCATTCGTTCTCCTAACGTCGGCCCGTTTTGGGCCGAAAGTCAAATCATCTTCATGCTTAGGTTAGGAAACCCTAGCAGACTTCAAGCACAGTACAATGATGGCGTTTTTTTCACACTTTTCTGGCACTCTACATGATTGTTTCGCGGTCTTAAGGAGTTTCATGTAGCATGTCGGATAGACAGAAAATCTGCCGCTGTGGAGGTTTTTTTGCTTCTTCACCCATTTCGCCTACACGCTTCCGGATTTTCATTCGTTATTTTCTTCCTATGCTCTTTTAAGCTATTGAGGTTATATGGCATCGATCGCTTCGCGCGGATCCTCGCAGCTTTAACTCATCGGCATTGTTGCACGTAGTAACTAGTGGAGTCCGTTTCTAGCTTTAATCATCCTTGTGATTGCGAATAGCCCCATGACGCATGTAGCCTATCAAGAGGCTGAACCTTTGCGCTGCAATATCCATTTACAACATAACTAATATTGACCTCTGATAGCATACGAGTTGTTATACTTGCCTTGAAGCCGTATCTCATGGGTTAACACGCCTACCATACGCAACCGGTGTGATGGTAGCCGGTACTCTGGGTGGGCGGACTAGCACGGCTATTGTCAGTTTACCACATTTGAACCGGTTGATTAGGCTAGTCAAAATCAGTTCGGCTTGGCATGGAGGAAGCACCGCGTGGTTCCGGACACCAACGAGCGAGCAGCACGCGCACCGTTGAACCTATGGTGATAGCATGGGGTGCGATGGCAATTGATCGGTCGGGCAAACGGAAACCAGTTACTTGTCTCCTACACTAAATGATCAAACTTGCGCAGGTTGCGGAGACAATTCACCATTGGTGCGGCGTAGCATAAACACAGCTCAACTTGTCCCTAGCTAGAGCAGATGTGGTTTGGATTTAACGTGTGCGCGACATTGAACTCAAGCATACGATGTAAGACAGACAACGAGAAGTAACCGGCGAAAGCGATGACGGTGAGCCTACTGTTCATGAATATCAGCTTTCTGATCGCTGCCCAGCCTACTATTCTCACTATCTAGGGTCTTTCACTATTCGGAGCAGTAGTCAGGCGGCCTGGTGCTCCATCATGGAACCAACCAAGGAGTCCATGCCTCCTAGCGATACTTAAATGGTCTCTGGCGAAGGAATTCGAGTTAACAGTACCATTCATTTAACACTTCTTCACTATACCTCGAACATATTTTAATTCGACACTTTACGCGCATGCAGCGGGTTGCACGTTCGCCCATACAAATTGGGTTCACCCGCAGCTGTTGACCGCAGTATCAGCGGTTGTATAAAACGTACACACCTAAAACGGATTATTCGGCGGGTTTCAGGTGTGCACACACCGGTTGTCCTGGTTATTAGCGTATGTGGTGTCCCCGATATTAGAATTCACAACTCATTTCCGCCTACATTGATAATCCCGTTTAGATTGTATTCGCTAGTTGTCTCACTCGTCTGGAGATATCAGTGCAACGCTTGCAGGTTACTCCTAGGTGGATATCGTTCTCAGCTTGAGGATTGTATTCTTGGTGGTTGGATTTATTCCCGAAGTCGTCCGACCACGCCATCCAAACCGTACACACGCTGCAGTTCTCCACTCCGAAACCCATTCGAATCAGCTCCTTTCCCCATCTTACTCGACATACTTGACGCGCACAACATGAGTCAACAGCAGCTCATTGACATTGAGATTTACAACAGTTTGTCCGAAGCCTTTTTAGGGTAAGCGTTTTCGCCTTTAGTTTGCCATTTCCCTATTTTTATCCTATTTTGTTGTAGTCCTGATCGTGGGACACCCTTTCTCTGGTCTCAAGATCGAGGTATTGACGTTCTTTCTGGTGAAAAATATTTCATCTGTCGTATGTAGAAGGCAGTTTCCTGAAACTCGCTGATTTACTGGACAGCAGAATTAATCCTGTACGAATTATCCTTATTTCCCCTATTACTTCACCTGTTCTTTGCGACTCATCGACCACTGAGGATGAGGACATCGGGTGGTTTATACAACGACCGTGTCATTTGCATTAAGGGTGGTACACTTTCACTCTGCTATTGGTGTAGATCTGGAAGCCCAGGACATTAGAGCTGCGCGGCTGGGCATGTCGTTTGCTTCTTCAACTTGAAAGATAAAGTTACAGGACTGAGTCGTCAGACAGCTACTGAAACTGCTTGATCGTTTCACCTACCTGGTTGCTCCATGAGTTCTGGTCACCTCACTTAGAAGGCTACTGTGCGTATCCGCAAATTTCCAATCTCAGCAGTCCGTCGAAGCAGCTAGGTGTCAATTTGTCCGTTATTGACAGCGTGCGTCGCTGCAGTCAGACCAATATTATCGCGGGAATCGTGCACGCGGCCACCTAGCACTGATGATTCTAAGGATTGGTCATCTTTGACCGCCGGTTCTCACCTGGTATTGCTGATATCTGATAAACGGCTGAGTAGTACTACAGTCGATCAGCTGATACTTGAGATCATCTAATGCTTCACCGGAGCATATGTTAAACTCACATACTTACGTACGCTGGGCTTTGCCCTCCGGATGTCTGTCGTTCACTTTTGGTGTGCTATCACTGCATCTATTCAGATAAAGTCGCAATGTAACCAATGCATGGTTTAACAGAAGCGTACAGAATTTAGCTAGGGCTTAATCGGGTCGATCTACACGGTTTTCTTGGGTGCAGAACTCGGGTCTGTCCACTATAGTAGATCTAGATCTCATCCAACTTCACTCGATCTCCGAGCTAGAGGTGATCCTGCGCTTTCACTCTTGCATATAGCTGTTTGGCTCACAAACCTTTTCTTCGTGACTCTTTTTGCGTTCTTTTTCGCTTTTCTCCATCCCCGGCGTCTATTGTTGTCCTGGTAACGCAAATCCCGGCAGCTGGATTCGCTGTGCATCGATGCTCTAAACGCATTGATCAGGTATAGTTGATTGTATTGGTCGAACCGCAGGTGAACAGTACGGAGTACACCAATTGGCGTCAGGCATCACACCTTTTCATTTTCATCGAGTCAGGCGTCTACATTCAGGCGTCCACATTGACCAGATGATGCTGTTGGAGCGGCTTAGCCTTTTCTGTCTAGAACGTGTGTAGATTTCGTATGCTGAACCTATAAGATAAACCTTAACTATGATTCTGATGAGTAGCGGTGAAGAAATTGCCTTCAGATTTAATCTTGCTGGTGTGCGCCGCCTTCCTGGATGTGGTCTACGGATTAGGCCACATCAATCACAGTATATGCCTTTTTTCACACCACAGCGCGTGAACTCAGTGTGCTTCTTGTATTCGCTTTATTCTATTTACCGGGCTCCCATTTTTTCACTTATTCCTTTGAGGTTTGTTCACATATGTGCTTACTTTTCCTTCTCCTTCAATTTGAACTATTGGTGCGAATCACCACCATTCTAGCGACCCGTCTTAGTGTATCATCGCCTATTATAATTTAGTCCTCTGTACCATAGTTGACCTGTTGTGATGAGCCAACAAGTTTCATTCATTTAACCGAGGCTAGTGGTTACAGAACGACCGTCATTTCTCACAGCGACTATCGACCTCATCGCAATGAGACTGGACCTTATCGTGGTGCAATGGTTTGTGTGCCTCAGAGATCTATTGAGCTATGCTAGATGGTGCTTTTTTGCACCTTCAGAGCCACTCATACCAGATTGGTCAATGGGTAGATGCCACACAAAATAAGTCCCCTCCAGCGGGAGGGTTGGAATGTGGGTGGCTCCTTATTCCTTCAAATGGACTCCTTGTAGCCCAATGCCAAACCCGCTGCCTTGCGGTCAGGTTTTTGAACCAAAGCTTTTGGTTGAGAACCCTAATCCTTCACCTGTCCAGGCCTGGGCAACCTAACAATATCCTGCCTATGCAATACAATGCATTTCTCTTCAAACAATTTCCTGCTACTCTGGCCGTCGCAGAGGATAGTGAACGGCGCCCTGTCTTCTGCATCGAGTTACGTGAATAGGGGTTTGGATGCTACTGCTCAAGCCTTCCCGTCTTCTTTTTCCCCCTCTTGCGCTTTTTCCCCCTGATCGTCCCGTTTCAACTTCACTTTTATCCCCCCCCCCGTTTTCCATCCCCCTTCTTCGCCCTCCCCCAACATGCTTTGCTAGGCATTCATTTTCTATTTTTAACTCACACTTGAGCGCGGAGCGTCACTCCTATCCTGTCGACGATCTAATGTCCAACCAAGCGGTCCACCCCATTACATCGGCTTCCGTTTGGAGCCCTCGATCCTCCTTCAAGTTGGTATGCCTCAATGTACGCACATTGCTACAGATCGGTCAACACGCAACACTTGCCCGAACATTAGAGACTCTCTCCATCGATATCTGCTGTTTATCGGAGACTCGCCTGCAAGATTCGAGCTCTGTGCTCACACTGCGATCCTGTTCATGTGACACCAGCACTATTTTCTTATTGCGCCTATCCTGTGACGAAGCAGCTTTGAGCACTGGCCAAGCTGTTGTTGGTATTGTCCTGAG